CCCTCTCCTACTCCCCCTGCTTGTGTTCCCCTCTCTCACTGTGTCTCTTCCTGTCGAATAAAAAAAGTCTTTGAGGGCACCTGGATGGCTCAGTGGGTTAAGCTGCTGCCTTCGGCTCAGGTCATGATCTCAGGGTCCTGGGATCGAGTCCCGCATCGGGCTCTCTGCTCATCAGGGAGCCTGCTTCCCTCTCTCTCTCTGCCTGCCTCTCTGTCTACTTGTGATCTCTGTCTGTCAAATAAATAAACAAAAATCTTAAAAAAAAAAAAAAAAGCCTTTGAAAACAACAACAAAAAGAAATGAACACAGCTGCAAGTAACAGTTAAACTCAAATAACAAACTTAACCAAATAAGGGATTAATTTTTCCCATTTTATTAAAAAGATTTTTTTTAAAGATTTTATTTATTTATTTGACAGAGATCACAAGTAAGCAGAGAGGGAGGCAGAGAGAGAGGAAGGGAAGCAGGCTCCCTGCTGAGCAGAGAGCCCCATGTGGGACTCGATCCCAGGACACTGGAATTGTGACCTGAGCTGAAGGCAGAGACCTTAACCCACTGAGCCACCCAGGCACCCTTTTTTAAAAGACTTTATCTATTTACTTGAGAGAGAGGGAGAGTACAAGTCGGGGTACAGACAGAGGGACGAGCAGACTCCTAACTGAGCCCAGAGCCCAACTTAGGGCTTGATTCCAAGACCCTTGCATCATGACCTGAGCTGAAGCCAGACGTTTGACTGACACACCCAGGCGCCCCAACGCAGACTTCTTTTAACTTTCTTTCTTATTCTTTTTTTTTTTAAGATTTTATATATTTATTGACAGAGAGAGAGAGATCACAAGTAGGCAGAGCAGCAGGCAGAGAGAGAGGGGGAATCAGGCTCCCCACTGAGCAGAAAGCCTGATGCGGGGCTCCATCTCACGACCCTGAGATCAAGAGTTGCATGCTCTACCGACTGAGCCAGTTAGGTGTTCCAACAAAAGGTGTTTTGTTTTTTTAAGATTTTATTTATTTATTTATTTGACACGGACGGCGGGGGGGTGGGGTGGGTGGGAGGGATCACAAGTAGCCAGAAAGGCAGCCAGGTGAAGCAGGCTCCCTGCTGAGCAGAGAGCCTGATGTAGGGCTCCATCTCAGGACCGACCCTGAGATCATGACCTGAGCCAAGGGCAGAGGCTTAACCCACTGAGCTACCCAGGCACCCCTTCTTTTAACTTTCTATATCCAAACCCCTAGCATACAGCTTTTATTCTTATGATTATCTTATAGTCACAAAATGTCTGCTCTACTTCCAACTGTATATTGTTGGTATACATATATTCCAGGGTGAAGGACAAGGCAGCCAGAAGGGGGTGGTGACTATAATGAGGAAGCAAAGCACTCCCAGAAACTCTCAGTTTTACGTATTTCCCAGAACTATGTCACATGGCTGTTCCTAGCTATAAGGGAGGTTGGAAATGTGTCTATTAGTCAGGTATGTTACCACTCCTAATAAAATTGGGATTCTATTAGGAAGAAAGGAAGGAAGAAAGATATTGGATAGGCAACTAGAGTGACTGACCTTGATGGAATTTGAAAAGAAAAACTCAAAATTCTGAATGTGGCCATGTAAGCATGTTGAAATGCTAGAAAAAGTCTCAGTTACTGTTTTTATCTTCTACTCTTACAAGACGTGGCAATTTGTTTTACTAAACTTGCCTTATATTTACAATAAGGGGCTCTGTGTCATACAGCTTTGGGAAGGTGATATTCACTTTATGTTGATTTTCCATGAATAGTGTCCCTGGAATTGGGTAACACAGCAAACCTATTTGTTTTTCTGGTTGTTTTTTTTTTTTTTTTTTTTTATTTTATTTATTTATTTGACAGAGATCACAAGGAGACAGAGAGGCTAGCCAGGTAGGGGGAAGCAGGCTCCCTGCTGAGCAAAGAGCCCAACACAAGACCCAATCCCAGGACCCTGAGATCATGACCTGAGCCAAAGGCAGAGGTTTAAGCCACTGAGCCACCCAAGTGCCCCAGCAAACCTGTTTGTAGTAATGCTTTCAGTATTGCAGACCTTTCATGAAGTGATATATATTAGAACTCTTGGTTACTTGCATGATTAAATATTTACTTATAAACTGTTATATCCTCAAAAAATATAGAGCCCTAGACTCTCAGAGTTGGAAGAAATCACAGTTAACTAATTTAAAATTAAGTTCCCACCATGTGCCATGTACTATTCTAGGCCCTGCCCTCAGTGCCCTGTACTAAACATGAAGCTCAACATCCAACCTTCTACCCATTACCAGAATCCCTTCTTCAGTAGGTCTAATAGTCCCTGAGCCCTTACTTAAACAATTCTTTGATGTCTGACTTCCAGATGCTTATATTGGTGCTCTCTGGGCTGTCCATGACCCCTAGAAGGGGGCAGCAATTCAGCTGCATAGAACTATGGTATTCCTCATGTAGAATAAAATGGAATTGTTCTTGCCTTGGCTTGCTTACCAAGTTCCAGTGTTGTTTGTTACACAAGCATAGATAACTGAGATCCCATGTAACTCCCCTCACTCAGCCTTAGTTCTCTCCTCACGAAAATGGTGTGACAGAGTTATCTCTTACAGAGTAAGTACTTAACAGAAATCACTCTTATTATCTTCATCATCATCATCATCATCATCATCATCATCTGTGTGAAAATTTGTTGGAGCTTGGCTCCAACCCATGATTTGAGTCCATCAAAGAACTAATGAATTTTGGGCACTTGGGTGGCTCAGTTGGTTGAGTGTCTGACTCTTGTTTTCAGCTGAACTCATGATCTCAGGTCATGGGATCGACCATCAGGCTCCACACTCAGCACGGAGTCTGCTTGAGATTCTCTTCTTTTCCCTCTCCCTCTGCACACCCCCCCACCAAAATTTTGTTTAAAAACTAACAAATTTAAGTACGTCAGGGTGGCTCAGTTGGTTAAGTGTCTGACTTCAGCTCAGGTCATGATCCCCGGGTCCTGGGATTGAGCCCTACATCAGGCTCTCTCCTCAGAGGGAAGCCTGCTTCTCCCTCTCCCTCTCCCTCTGTTTGTGTTCCCTTTCTTGCTGTCTGTCAAATAAATAAAATATTAAATAAATAAATAAATACATACATATATACAATCTTGTAATCAATCAATAAATAAAAACTAATGATTTCAATTAGCTCATTACCTAATCTTTATTTGAACTTCTTTTTTTTTTTTTAAGATTTTTACTTATTCAACAGAGATCAGAGTGGGGGGGGCAGGCTCCCTGCTGTGCAGAGAGCCGGATGGGGGAGCTCAATCCCAGGACCCTGAGATCATGACCCATCCTTCTGAGCTGAAGGCAGAGGCTTAACCCACTGAGCCACCCAGGCGCCCCTGAACTTATTTCTGAGACTACACTGACTTTTACTTATTTCGTTTTTATTTGTACAAATCTGATATCCTGGAGTGCTTGGGTAGCTCAGTCACTTAGTAGTAATAGCTTATCTGTCCAATGTTCAGATCCCAAAATATTTTACCAAATGAAGAAATTATTTTACCTCTGAGGATCTTACTGGAAGCCCAGGCTTATATGACGCTTAGTGTTTATCAAGTACCTACTATTGGGGGTGCCCGGATGGCTCAGTCAGTTAAGCATCTGCCTTTGGCTCAGGTCATGATCCTAGGAACCCCCTGTCAGTTCCTTGTTCAGATCCTAGGAACCCCCTGTCAGTCCCTCTCCCTTTGCTGCTCCCCGTGCTTGTGTTCTCTCTCAATAAATAAATAAAACCTTACAAAATGTATATCTGATATCCCAATTCCTATATTTTCAGATTCCAACTTTATTTTTATTTTATGTTTTTTTAGATTTTATTTATTCATTTGACACAGAGAGAGAGTACAAGCACGGGAAGCAGCAGAGGGAGAAGGAGAAGCAGATTCTCTGCTGAGCGGGGACCCCGATGCAGGGCTCAATCCTAGAACCCTGGGATCATAACCTGAGTGAAGGCAGAAGTTCAACCAACTGAGCCACTCAGGTGCCCCAGATTCCAACTTTAAAATCAAGTGTGGGGACACCTGGGTCATGCAGTCGCTTAAGAGACTTCGGCTTCGGCTAAGGTCATGATCCCAGGGTCCTGGGATTGAGCCCTGCATTGGGGTCCTTGCTCAGTGGGGAGCCTGCTTCTCCCTCTACCTCTGTTGCTCCTCCTACTTGTGCTCTCTCCCACTCACTTTCTTTCTCTGACAAATGAATAAATAAAATCATTCAAAAATAAAATAAAATCAAGTATGATTTGGTATTTGTTATTCTTCTGTCATTGTCTTATTTTATACCGAGATGCTATTCATAATTAAAAGAGGTACACACCAGGCGCCTGGGTGGATCAGTCGTTAAGCGTCTGCCTTCAGCTCAGGTCATGATCCCAGGGTCCTGGGATTGAGCCCCCAGTTCGGCTCCCTGCCCAGGAGGTAAGCCTGTTTCTCCCTCTCCCACTTCCCCTGCTTGTGTTCCCTCTCTTGCTGTGTCTCTCTCTGTCAAATAAATATTTTTTTAAAAGAGGTACATATTTAAGATATTGAACAATTTTAGACTCCAGTTTTCACCCACCCATACCCAACTAGAAAAATAATCGAAGTGTTGATTTTCTTTTCTTCCTCCATCTTCCATCTCCTCAATTTTAGGAGAACTGGAATGAATGCATAGATATAGTCAAGACCAGAGCATTAAAGGGGAAGTGCTCAAGGGTCCACCATGGCATAGCGGTAAGCTAGACTAACAGCAGATGTGCAGCCTATGTTTATACAATTAAAGTGGGCTTCTACCTCTAGCCATACGATGCTCAAGAACTACTACTCAAATCTTTTTTCACCCCCTCAAAACCAAATCCTTATAAACATAAGCATTTATCAGTAATTTCCAACATCAGTGCTATCAGTATTTTGAGTCGGATAATTCTTTTTTGGGAGGGTAGGGGGGCTGTCCAGCGCATAACAGGATGTTTAGCAATATCCTGCCCTCTAGGGGCGCCTGGGTGGCTCAGTGGGTTAAAGCCTCTGCCTCCAGCTGGGGTCATGATCCCAGGGTCCTGGGATCGAGCCCCGTATCGGACTCCCTGCTCAGCAGGGAGCCTGCTTCCTCCTTGCTCTCTGCCTGCTTCTCTGCCTACTTGTGATCTCTGTCTGTCAAATAAACAAATAAAATCTTAAAAAAATATATATATATCCTGCCCTCTAGTTGCCAGTAGCGAACCATACCCCCCCATTACCAAATGTGCCCTGGGGGACACATTGTTTGTTTGTTTGATTATTTTTTTTAAGATTTTATTTATTTGACAGACAGAGATCACAAGTAGGCAGAGAGGCAGGCAGAGAGAGAGGAGGAAGCAGGCTCCGCGCTGAGCAGAGAGCCCGATGCGGGGCTTGATCCCAGGACCCTGAGACCATGACCTGAGCCGAAGGCAGAGGCTTAACCCACTGAGCCACCCAGGCGCCCCTGGGGGACACATTGTTGTTTTGAGAAGCACATTGGTGGGTTGAGAACCTCACCCCCAGGTTGAGCTAAGAAAGTCAAATAAATGACTTGAGGACTCCTAGCATATCTAACCTTCTGGCCCATTTGTTCTGGCTGGTAGGGTCTTCTCTGCCCAGAAACAGGAAAAAAAATAACTTACTTCCAGTAAAGTATGAATACTTACTTATAAATACTTATGTATTCATACTTTACTTCTAGATCTCTTGGCTAAAGCTTCCAGAAGAATGCCTTGACTGTCAGAAGCATAGCAATTAGGAGACTGATTATACTGAGACTAAAAAGGCTCACACCCTTTGTAATGAATGACTCTTTGGCTTCTTCTTCCGAGGGCCACTCAGCCACTGACAGATGGGAAAGAAAGGGAGACAAAGGACAAAAGGCTCTGAGAAAGCATACAGATGGAAAAGAAGAGCTAATTTACCTTTGGGAAAGAAGGCTTCACTGATTCATTCCTAGCCTTAGCCACACCTCTAACCACAAGCGGGAATCCTGGCACCCTTAGTCAAGTTCCCTCAGCCTTCTTTAAGCCGTAATTCTCCAACTAGAAGCATCTCCACATTCTCTCCTTCCACCTTCCCCAGAGGAACATCAGGGCTGACAAGCAGGCGCTAATTTGAGAACTCTTCAGACCAGAGTGCAATAGGAGGCAAGGGCCATCCCATAGGTTGAACAGTTTGGGCACCTCACCAAAGAGGCTAGTGGAAGTCTGATTCCCTGCCAAGAACCGGCTTTTCATGTATGGTTCACCAAGCCAGGGCTTGAGATCAAGACCTGAGCTAAGATCAAGAATCAGACACTTAACTGACTGAGCCACCCAGGCGCCCCCAAAATTGTCCTTTTCTAATTCTGAGACAACACAGAATAAAAAACCTGTACATGCTCTAAGGTCCTATTTTATATTTTTATATTTTAGCCAGAGGCTTCCATTGAGGTTAAACAATAACCTTGTTGTTTAACCCTTAAACTGTCCCTGCTCCCCCTCCCCCAGGGGACTTACTTAAAAACAAGTCCCGGAAACCAGCCTCAGGTAACAATGCACAGATACAAGGATGGGTCAGGCCAGGTGGAGACATCTGATCAGTGGGGGGGATGCATAGTGTCTCCCTAGCTACCAAGGAGTATGGGCCCCGACCTTTGGGAACCTTTTGGGCGCCAATCCTAACCAAGGTGAAATTGTTCACCTTGCAGTTGGTCACCTAGCAACACTGTGCAGTTTTCTCTGTGTGCTACAATTTCATTGGCCACCTGTGCGTGGCCAGGCCCAACCACACGGCCTTTGCCCTTAAAAGCTAGTCCGTAAAGGAGAGCGGGGTTGCCCTCTCTGTAAGAGGTGCAGCCGTGGCCGGCCAGTTTGATTCTTGATGCTTGGAGCAAAAGAAAGCTTTGCTTGACCTTCGCTTTGCATCAGTCTCGCTCCTTTAATCACGGACCCATTATTCGGGCATAACACATGCTATAAACCAGAAGGTTTATTTCCCCTAAGTCTTCTCAACTTAAACAGACCCATTTCCCTAGCTGTTCCTTATGTGATTTACAAACCTCTTGCTGATTATCTCCCCAGAGCCCTATAGCTTAGCATAGTGTTCAGCATAGTATTCCTTATCCTGACACACATACCCTCCACCATCTGACATCTTGTTCCTTCTCCCTCCATGTTGCTCTAAAGATCATAAAGAACTATGTGTCCTCCTGAGTGTACCATAACGTTAGAGATCTACCACATCCTAGTCACAGATTCTTATTTGCCTAACACGTGCTTGTCTCTCAAAACCTGGTTCAAGTGTTACCATTTTGGGACACCTTTCCTGCTAACCTCCCCATTCTTATTCTTCTTTTTTATAAAGGCAGGAGGTTTTTTTGTTTGTTTTTTTGTTTGTTTTTTTAGATTGTATTTATTTATTTGACAGACAGAGAGCATAAGCATGCAGAGAGGCAGGCAGAAAGTAGGTGGGGGGTGGGGTGGGGAGCGGGCTCCCTGCTGAGCAGAGAGCCTGATGTGGGGCTTGATCCCAGGACCCTGAGATCATGACTGGAGCTGAAGGCAGAAGATTAACCCACTGAGTCACCCAGGCACCCCATCCCCATTCCTATTCTGATTTTCAGTGCTCCTTCCTCCTGCTCAGGAGGCTCCTTCCTCTTTTCCACCATACCTTGTGCTCTGTGCTTATTTCTATCACAGACAGTACCTATCACATCGCATCATTCCGTAATCATTGATTATTTCTTTTTCCTGCCCCCCACCCCTTCCCGGCCATGGACCATGATCTTAGTAAGTTAAAGATATGCTGGTAGCAAGTACCCCATAGCATCAAAGAGAAAACAGATTGAGAACCACTGCATTGGACTGTCCATTCCTTGAGGGCAGGGCCACATCTTTACCTCTTCACCTCCAGCATCCAGCACTTGGCCTGATGCTCAGTGAATGTGCAATAAATGCCTGAAAGCCTCTGGGAAAAGGGCATTGCTCTCAGGTGGCTAGACACATATTTAGTGATCTTATTTTTGAATGTCATGAGGATCCAAAAAGGACCAAGATGCAGCTGGAAAGCTGATAGAATCCTGCCATCACCCCATTCACTTGTTTCTGTCATATGTGTGCTAGTTCCTTATTCATGTCAACAGCAGAGAAAGTGTCGAACAGGTAGGCATTTGCTGAGTTAATCAAGGTCACAATTTCCCCACTTTCAAGAACTGAGGTTCCTGCTGCCCTCTACCATAGGCTAGCAAGATTAAATATAAAATAAAAAACAGACATCCCACGTATTTAATATTACTTTCTGAGTTCCTTGCGGGGGAGGGTGTCAGGCAGAAGGCATTATGAGTCCGCTCCATTGAAAAATGAGACAACCACAGCCACTCTGGTCTGGATGGTGGCCCAGAACTGCTGACAGGAGTAGAACTAAACTGGGCCTGAGAATTGCACTGTGACTTCTGTCCTCCTTCTCTCTGGGTGGGGGTTGGGGGGAGGGCAGGCAATTTATCAGCGTGTAAGAACTGGGGCCCTAAGTACCTTAGGCGGGAAGTGCCAGTGTGGAGACTTTCATTGGAGAATATTTTTTTTTTTTTAAGATTTTATTTATTTATTTGAAACAGAGAGAGAGAGATGACAAGTATGCAGAGAGGCAGGCATAGAGAGAGAGAGGAGAAAGCAGGCTCCCCACTGAGCAGAGAGCCCGATGTGGGCCTCGATCCCAGGACCCTGAGATCATGACCTGGAGCTGAAGGCAGAGGCTTAACCCACTGAGCCACCCAGGCGCCCACTGGAGAATATTTTTGATCAGTAAGTGTTAACACACTGGATTTTCTACTTCCGTCTCAAGAGGGTTTCCAGACAGGGCCTAGCCTGGGAGTTCCAGAGCTCTAATTAGCTACTAATTGGTCATTTAAGTTATAATAGCTTGTCTGTCCAATGTTCAGATCTTATAGTATTTTACCAAATGAAGAAACTATTTTGCTTCCAAGGACCTTACTGGAAGCCCAGGCTTACACGACGCTTAGTGCTTATCAAGTACCTACTGTTGGGGGTGCCTGGGTGACTCAGTTGGTTGGGCTTTTGCCTTTGACTAAGGTCATGGTCCCAGGGTCCTTTTTCTCCCTTCTCCTCCCTGCTGGTGTTCTCTCTCTCGCTATCTCTCTGTCTCTGTCTTTGTCTCTGTCTCTCTCTCTAATGAATAAACAAAATCTTAAAAAAAAAAAAAAAAAAAAGAAGCACCTACTATTGTATTACTAGGGACTCTGAAATCTCATAATCTTCTTACCCCTCAGAAATGCACTCGGTAGGACATGACTAAGGCAAGTGTTTTGGCTATAGCTAGTTTATGACTAAAAGGGCAGCCTTGGGGCACCTAGGTGGCTCAGTTGGTTAAGTGGTTGCCTTCGGCTCTGGTCATGGTCCCAGGGTCCTGGGATGGAGCCCCATGTCCGGCTCTCCGCTCAGTGAGAGCCTGCTTCTCCCTCTGCCCGCTGCTCTGCCTACTTGTGCTCTCTGTCAAAATAAATAAAATATTTAAAAAATAAAATAAAATAAAAGGACAGCCTTATAGTAAAGCGTTATCTGCTAGACTCCCCAGAAAAAGGAAAACACATTTCCAAAGCCTAGCAGTAACAGAGCTCAGAGAAGTCATCTTCTCACCCTAATGAAGTAGGAAGGGCATTAGGAAGTACCCAGAGCTTTAACCTTCACCCACATCCTGGCCAGAGAAGGAAATCTGGGCTCCAGTGCAAGGATCTGGCTCATAGGCTTTGTCATGGTTGTGGGAAAGTGGGAGAAGAAACCCCACCCCCACGCTAGGCTCTGGGCCAGCCTCCTCCCTCACTGTGCACAACCTTGATCCAGGGGCAGGAACTGGTACCCTGGCTTTTTGAAGCCCAAGAACTTTGATCTTTTTTTTTTTTGGGGGGGTTAAGATTTTATTTATTTATTTATTTATTTGGCATAGAAAGAGAGAGAGAGCAAGCGAGCCCAGGAGCACACAAGCGGAGGGAGTGGCAGGCAGAGGGAAAGGGAGAAGAA